CAACTGACCGGAAGAGATCTGTATTTGTTCCCATTCCAAAGAAGGGTGATCAGACAATGTGCAGAAATTATCGAACACTACCATTAATAGGTTGTTGTGAGGGTGAACACTGTGACACTGATGTGTCAAATGCATTAATGGCTGGTTACCCAATGCGGACAGAGAGTGGGGTGGGGCTCCCCGATTAAAACAAGCTCGGAAGGAGGAGTAGCATCCACTTCCGTAATAGCTTGGCTCCAGAAACCCTATGAACCTGGAGAGAGTATGAGAGACACCCAAGCGTTGAGGACTCTCCTTCATAGGGTCTCTATGTGTCACCTGCGACTCGACGGCACTTAACAACAACATCATTAATATGACATGCAAGCAAGATTCTGCTGAAAATTATACAAAAATGACTGAAGCAACACGTCAACAGAGAACTGCCAGATGTGTAGGCTGGGTTTAGAAGAGGCTGTGGTAGTAGGGATATTACAGCTAATGTAGGATGGATCTTGGCTGAAAGCAGAGAATACCAGAGGAATGTCTGTGTTTCATTGACTATGTAAAGATAGGTGATTGTGTGGATCACAGCAAACTGTGGCTGACTCTGAAAAGAATGAGAATCCTAGAACATTTGATTTTGCTTATGCAAAACCTATACTTGAACCAGGAGGCAGTCGTAGGAACACAGCAATGAGATATGGCATGATTCAAAATCGGGAAGGGTGCATGCCAGGGATGTATTGTCTCCATACCTTTTCAATATATATGCAGAACCCATCATCTGGGATGCTGGGCTCTATGAGGAGGAATGTGACATCAGGATTGGAGGAAGGAAGATTCAACAACCGGCGTTATGCAGATGACACAATACTGCTTGCTCTAACTGAGGATCTGACTTGATGTACAACAACAACAAATTGCTGTGGAGGAAGGAGATTGCCCATTTTTCTCCCTCCCAGCAACTGGTGAATTCAAACTGTTTATCTTAGGTTGGCAGTGCAACTCTTAATTCACCAGGCCACCAAAGCTCCCTTTATTAATGTAAAACTTATCCTAAATTTAACTGCTATGAAGAACTTGTGGGTTGATATACAATATACCACATGCAGTGGATATATTTTTCTGTTGTTGTTATGTGTCGCTGGATCACTTGCGACTTACAGCAACCCTATGTACAACAGCCCTGAAACCTGCTCTATCCTGTTCCAACTTTACTGTCTCCAACAGACTTACTTTCATTACCCCAGTCACTGTATCAACCCATCTCATCAATGGTCTCCCTCTTTCTCCATCCTGTCACCCTTCCAAGCATGATGTCCCTCTCCAAGGACTGGTCCCTTCTTGCAACCTGCCCAAATCCTTGACTCCAAGGAGCAGCCTGGGTTTACCCTCACTAGATGATTGGGGAGGCTGGGCTCTATGAGAAGTATGGCATCAGGATTGGAGGTAGATTCATCAATGACCTTCATTATGCAGATGACATAACCCTGTTTGCTGAAACTGAGAAGGACTTGAAGCCTTTGCTGCAGAAGGTCAAGGACTGCAGCCTTCAATATGGATTGAAGTTCAACATCAAGAAAAAAAGATTCTCACTACTAGGCTGACTGACAGCATCATGATAGATGGTGAAGAGATTGAGATTGTTGAGGGGTTCAGTTTGCTTGGCTCTACAATCAACATTCTTGGTACCAGCAGCCAGGAAATTAAAAAACGTATTGCGCTGGAAAAGTCTGCTGTCAGAGACCTCGCCAAAGTGCTGAAGAGCAATGATGTCAATCTGTAGACTAAGGTACACCTGATACAGGCCATCCTGCATCAGAGAGCTGGACAATGACTAGGGATAATAGAGGGAGAACTGATGCCTTTGATGCAATTTGTTGTTCTTGTACATTACGTCCTCCTCAGTTTCAGAAAGCAGAATTTTGTTATCTGCATAACGCAGGTTGTTGAATCTTCCTCCAATCCTGATGCCACATTCCTCCTCATACAGTCCTGCCTCCTGGATCATTACAGTTACTGTATCAATCCATCTCATCAATGGCCTCCCTCTTTTTCTCGATATCTCCACCCTTCCAAGCATGATGTCCCTCTCCAAAGACTGGTCCCTCCTTTCAACATGCCCAAATTATGACAGAAAAAGCCTCAGAATCCTTGCCTCCAAGAAGCAGCCTGATTTCACCCTCTCTAGGACGAACCTGTTCTCCTAGCAGTCCATGGTATATTCAACAATCTTCTCCAGCACCCCAGCTCAAAGGCATCAGTTCTCTTTCTATCATCCCTAGTCATTGTCTACCTCTCTGATGCATAGCAAGCAATTATGAAGACTACGGCCTGGATCAGGTGCACCTTAGTCTCCAGACTGACATCACTACTTTTCAGTTCTCTGGAGAGGTCCCTGACAACTGACTTTACCAATGCAATTCATCTCTTGATTTCCTGGCTGCTGGTACCAAGAGTTTTGATTGTGGAGCCAAGCAAACTGAAGCTATTAACAATCTCAGTCTCTTCACTATCTATAAGGATACTGCCAATTGTCCCAGGGGTGAGAATCTTTGTTTTCTTGATGTTGAGCTTGACCTTCTGCATCAAGCGCCTCTGGCCATCCTCAGCAAGCAGGATTGCGTCTTCTGCATAACGCAGGTTGTTGATGAGTCTACCACCAATCCTGACGCCCACATTCCTCCTCATACAGCCCTACCTCCTGGATGATCGGTTCTGCATATAAATTGAAAAGGATGGAGACTGAACACATCCCTGGCATACACCCTTACCTACAGCAATTTACAGCCTCTGAACACCCCTTGGAGGGTCAGTTATTAGTTGGTTCTGGTTCTAAAACAATGAAAGATTAAGGACTGTATTACCAATAGTTATCTTTAAAGATTATTATTAGATTGAATTTTATTTTATAAAAATATTACCAATAAGTCTGTTGAATCATTCAGTATTGTTTCCATAGCTGGGAAAACCTCCTAGATATTATTCACCAGTTAAAAGTTCTTTCTTCAGACACGTAGATACTATGCAAAATTCTTCAGATGCCCTTGTTTATAGCTGTTCTCGCTGCTGAATTAAAGGAGCCAAATGTGATACAAGTTCAATGATATTTCCTTCAAGGATTAACTCATTGTTTTGATGTTATGACACCGAAATAGTAACACTTGGCCTCACCTGAACCTGAATAAAGATATTGATGAGGAAAGGAACACACACAAACCTCATCTTATGAGAGAAGCCCAGTGTAGTGTATTTATTACATTCCATGCATTACCATGAGGGTGAATAATGTATACTGTAGCCAGTTCCCTTTAATTTCCTCCCCATATGTCAACATAAAGTCTCTTTCTTCTCTTTCCAAGGAGACTAAGTTCTCCACTGACATGACTGAGTCCCTCTGTAAGGATTCTCTAGAGCCCTTCACACTGTATCCCTTTAGAGTAATGTCAACATTTTCTGGAATGTGGCAGTCTGGTTGCTGAGAA